AAACACTTAATATTAACTCATACATGTGATAACGGTAGGCAAAAGCTAGCAATTCTCTCTATCAAGTTTCTGTTCAAGAAGTACACAAGCAACAAGTATGAAAAATGTGTACCATATATTCTAGGTTGCAATCTGCAAGCGCGTTCCGCACGCTCCTCGAGTTTTTCTGAGCGAATTCTTTCAATTGAGGACTTACTTGTTGGAAATTTATCAGGATTGTATCCAAATACCTACCTAGTAGCTTCATGAACATATACGATATCTCTCATATTTATGTAAGTGACACCTGTCTAGTGCCTCTACTAACTGGAGTGAAGAATACTTTCCGCATTGATGTTTTTTTTAGGGTTGCTAGCACTTTATCTGAGTTGCCCAATCTTCTTGCAACGATATTATATTTGCGTTCGAATCATATGATGATATCGATTATATTTTGTCCATTCCACCGATCCTTGTTCTCATTAAGTGAAACGTATCGGCGTGGGCAATATCAAACAAATTAACAATTTAAACCTAAGTTCCTGACAAACTGTTGTCGACGCTGTGTAAATACTACTTGAGCTTTTTGTGTATTTTTTTGCAAATCCCTCCAATTATAAATTCTCAGGTTTCTTTTCACAATTAGGAAACGATTTTGTAAGTGTTTTGATCCAGTTATTTGGTGTTTCGCATCACCTGTTAAAAATCTTAAGACTTCGTAGTTTCACTGACATGTTGATCGAGTGAAAAATATGTGTTTAATGTATAATAACACAAATTGTAACATACATATCGATATACCGATATCTTGTGCGTGTCGGCTGTAGTAAGCTGGTATTGGCAAGTTCCGATGCAAATCGGCACGGATTATCTACTCCAAACTTCGTTTTCAATTATTTCCATATGATTCAAACATACCCTATGCGTCAAAAAAACTTTTATTTTTTTTTTGGAACACCCTAATGTACATACATATATGCGCATACAAGTATATGCAAGTTTGTGGTACTTTTTAATCTAATATACTAATAGTTTTGGGCTTAGTATGTAGGCTTAAGTATTTAAATGTAAATGCTCAATTTGACCCCCATAATTGAAATATCACTTAACGAAACGGCATAGAAACATACATATGTAGATGTGTACGGCTGTTTGAACTTAACTTATAAATGCAGGTCAGTCGTTCATTTGAGAAGGCCAGTAGGATAATATATATGTATGTATGTATGTATGTACATTTATATTTATATTTATGTACATATATATTTATTATTTAACATAAATAATTATTGCGACTCTTGGTTACGCTCTGCTTCATATAATATGTATTGTGTCTTAATAGGTTGATGCCACGCTCAGATAAATTCATTTTTTAATTCATTTCCCATGCATGCGTATCTGATGGAAGCATCAAACGAAGACGAGTGTCTAAGAGACATCGCCGAATGTACATATTTTTATAACTAAAAGGTTTTCAAAAAAATCTTTCTATATGAGAGAAGCAATTCTCGGAGAAATTTTCAAAATATGTATATTAGACTAAAATTGCCAATTTTCGAGGGTGGACCAATATCACGAACTCTTCCATGTTTAAAGCCGTCTCTTTTTTGCTCGATGTTTTTACGCGCTGCTCTCTTGTCATAACATTTGTGCGTGAAATCATTGATCAAATTAGATACTTTTCCACAAGAGAGTTTGATGAGTGCTATTCTATATCTACTTTAATATACCAGTTGGTTCACTCTCCACAGATATACCTATGAGTCAAATATAGCTATATAAACGTGTGTAGTGAGTTTCGTCCAGACTCTAATGTCTCTAAGATAACCTGGAGTATCGCAATTTTTGCTACAGATATACATATTTTCCAGCATGAATAAACAGACTGATGTGTCGTTATATTTTCTTATTATTCAAATCCATCTATTAAAATTATTCTACTTAGTGCAGTATATTGCACCCGAGTATATAAAAGGTAGGAAACGAAATTTAGCACCTTCTTGTGTGCATGTTTGTACGCATTTGTAACACTTTTATGTTATAATTGTTACTCAATAAAGTAAGCAATGACAGGAAGTCACAGTATTTGCACACGTTTTCTCTAGAGTGTAGCTTTTAATTAATTTTATCTCACTTCCAAACTCATCTACGACCTTATGTAGAACTTATGTAAATATCTTTGTACCCGACAAATAAACTTCAAACTAGTTGGAAAACTACTAATTTACGACCAGAAATTTCTTATAGAAATTGAACTAGTCCGACAGTTAGCAAACTTAAACCAATCATAAGACGTAATCGTAAATGAGTGATTTTTCTTAACTTCAACGGTTGAAGGCAGCCCTCAAACATACCCAATTAAACTTGAATGCGATTATTATTTGTAAAAACAATTGAATACTCTTCGAAGGTTCGATAAAATGAAAAGGCTAACGAAAGTTTTAGCATTTCTACTATGCTTTCGTCATCAAAAGCTTCCAATTGCAGTTTGAGAAATGATTAGTAACCAATTAACTACCCATTTAAACACCGATACAAAAACAGCCAGTATCCACATTAATATTTGTACATATTAACTGTAGAACGGATATATTGATTTCCTTTAAATAAAGTTCAGTTGTTTATTCACATATTTGTTTGCTCAGCTATTTCCCTCTTAGCTCTGGGCAAAGATTTTTCACTTTATGTGTTTTTGGTAAGTAAACATATTATACTCGTTTATATGTATATAAGTACATGCGTATATACATCTGTGTACATTACCACTTCTAAGCTGTAATTTTCACCAAGTGCCGATATTCGAAAATGATGTTTAAATATTATACTGGAGGCTTGCGTGTTGCAATCAGACTCAAACGTACAAAAGTCACAATTTGAGGAGCTCAGAACTCTTGGTGAAATTAAGGGATTGATTGTGCCTGCGACAGCTTAGCAGCTGTCATAGGTATAAGTTCGAAGAAGTAAGAAAACTCTTCCGCTACATATTATGGTAAAAGCAGACAAAAGCATGTGTCATCAAATTACGGTTAATGAAACACGTACATATATCTATTAATCATTCTGTGCTATTTATTTTTTTTTTAATTAAGATACTTTTATTTTGTTTTTCTACAAAAATCTGGCGGTTATATTTTATATAATATTATCTATAAACAAGTAAGGAAGCTCTAGGTTCGCGTGTAACCGAACATGGTATACTCTCGCAACTTGCAAGGATCAAAGCCTGGGAAATTACTTCAGGTGTTGGAAAAATTTTATATTAAAGGAAGTGTTGATCCGATTTAACCCATTTTTGACACAAAGACATACTATTGTCGAAAGTTTCATTTATTTATTTTATTATATGAATTTCACTAATGTATATATCTTACACATTGACCGATATTTTCGATAAAAAGTCAACTATAGCCACTGGGGTTCACATATTCAGTACCTAGGGGCTAGAACAGTTTTGGTTCGATGGTCACAAAGTGGCATATTTTAAACGCATTATTCACGCAAAGTTTTACCCCGATACAATCATTGTTGCTTGATTTTCATAGTGGAAAGTGAAAGAATCAAATGGAATTTAAAATGTTGTTATATGGGAAATAGTCATGGTTGCAATCCGATTTTACCCATTTTCGCACTATAACATAGAAATATGTACAAAAAAAAATTTCATGTACCGAATTCAGTGGAAATCGGTTAAGCAGATCCTAAGATATGGGGTTTCACCTAAAAGTGGGCGGTGCCACGCCCACTGTCTAATTTTGAACGCGGTTCCTATAAAGTCATCTCATACCAACCCAGAGATAAAATTTAATGTCTCTGGTGTATTTAGTGCTTGATTTATCGCGCTTTTAGTAGTTTTTAACAGTACCGTTATATGGGGAGTGGGCGGCATTGTCACCCGATTTCCCCCATTTCCACACTGTAGATAGAGGTGCTAAAAACATTCGTTCTCAGTGAGTTTTGTTATTATAGCTTTAGCGGAGACATACACATTAAACCTATTAGGGGCCGAAACTACGCCCACTTTTTAAAAAAAATTTAAACTCCAGATGCCCCTCCCTAATTTGATCCTGTGTACCAAATAACAGTCTTGTATCTTATTGCATAGCTTAGTTGTGGCAATTTATTTGTTTTTGATTAATGGTGTTTTGTGGGCGTGGCAGTGGTCCGATTACGCCCATCTACAATACCAACTGTCTTACGGTACCAAGAAACATGTGTGCCAAGTTTCATAAATATATCTCAATTTTTACTCAAGTTACAGCTTGCACGGACGGACGGACAGACCCGGATTTCAACTCGTCTTTTCATCCTGATCTTTTATATATACATAACCCTATATCTAACTCGATTAGTTTTGGCTGATTCAAACATCCGTTAGGTGAACAAAACTATTATACTCTGTAGCAACAGGTTGCGAGAGTATAAAAAAATGGTGCGCTTTCGAGTCCTCTATGGGACCAAGGAACATTTTATAATGAAACGATAATTCACTATTGATAAACTTATAAGATCCACAAAAGTCGGAAAACAAGAAAAAAATGGGAACTTTGTACAGGTGAATTTTAAGTTCTTCCTTGGGAAGGCAAATCGTCTCGAGAATATGTGCGAAAACTTGGTGGTAAAATATTTTGAGATCTGTGTGGACCAGTGTATGTTAGTGCCAATCGTTGGCAAAAATTCTTTAAACATTTTTAAAATCCACTGGCATAAAGGGATATATGTTATATATAATATATAACTAACAAATATAGTATATGTGTGTATCCGCATTGTCTAATAGCGCCAAAAAATAGTCGTTAATATTTTGAGCGCGTTTCATTGGGCAAGTGGTGTAAGGGATAGACAAAGACAATTAAGTATGGGTTTTTTATTCAAAATTATTAAACGGGATTTTTGATAAACAAGAAATTTACACGCACGTGTTTAGATATTTCAACTTATGTACTTTTTATACATACGTACATACTATATTAGATATCATATTCCTATTCAGTAGTTTGTTATGGTTTTCAATAGACACTCACTTGCAATAGCCCATCGTTGGCCACTCAAAATACCCCAAAGCGTACTGTTCAGGTCGTCTCTGCACTGTACGCCCTCGACTTTTATAAGGCCAGCGAGGAATAACTGTCGCTCGCTAGGTGTCATCACTGCAGTCTCGTCCTTCCAATAAGGACTCAATGCTTTTTCCATAAGCTCAACATCACCGTAGTTATCAACCGACCAGTCCAAACGATCGTTCGGTGCAGCTTCTTCGGTTTGTCGTGGATTTATGTCTGCTGCGCTGGCGGCACTTACAAGGATGCATAGCACCAGCGGATATATGTACATTAGTCGTCTTGACCCAGGCATGCTCTTCACTGTGTATGTGACCAGATTATGAAAACTCATCAACTGGTTTACAGTTATACACTGTCTTAATTACTTATTATTTTCACAAACAATTCACACTTAATGTCGTTTTATTTGCACTGCTGTGGTTGTTGTCGCAATGGAATGTCCTTCACGTCCGAATTCAGTCACTTCCAATTCTAAATTTGAAAATAACACAGCCCAAATTCTAAACATTCATACGCGTTTCCTTTTAGATATCTAACGGTCATTCAGTGTGCGAGTATTACCTATGCACAAATATGTGGGTCTTCTGCGCAACCGACCGTACAAACCGCGAATTCAAGATCAACTAAACTAACGACGGTTCGCAACAAACTGTTTAAGCCAAGTTTTATGCTAGCAAACCTCGGATCGAGTCGTGTCAACTCCCCATACGGCTCGGTTTGTATGGGCTACTGACGCTTTCAATTAGTGTCGTGCACACTGTCGAGTAGGTGAATTATGCTATACGATATTCAAGCCGGATGGCTGCTCTCTTTTGTATTGTCATTTTTTGGCACGTTTTTAAATTGTAAGAATGCTGAAAATTTTAAAAGGAACAACCATGCAGCGCTTTTTCAATTTTTCCGAGTATGTGAACACTCTCTAATCTGATGATCTTAGCCAACTTGTCACTGGCAATGACATGAAAGTAATTGCTGTTGAAAGTATATATGTAGCATTTGTGAATCGCTTTTGCCGCGAAAGTTTACTTAATTGGTTAATATTTCTTCCCTTCTTCCTTTCTTTGTGTTTGGAAATTTCGTTCAACAACCAACAGAAGTAAAACTGCAACCTTGAATTTACACGTCGTAAAATTAAACCTAAACCTAAATTAACAGGAAATTAAAGTAAGTAGTATTCAGTATTTGAATTGAAAAGTAAAATTGATTTGTTTTGGGCTTTGGTGTAGCCTTATAATATATCGCTGATGTTGATAACTTAAATACTTTGCTCGTTTCATTTTAAATGTTCGGTTCTTAGCTGGCGTTTTGGACAATCGAAAGGGTACGCAATTATATTAAAATATATGGTATACTATAACAACTTACGAAAAATATGTGACAAGCAATTGAGGCAACTCAATTGTTAATTTCGAGCTTTTAAACTTGTTTCCAAATAATTGCCGAAAGATGCCGTTTTGATTTATTGGCTTGAAATACTTATGGTCATCCCGTTTGTTGACCGAATATATCCAATTGCAAATACATACCTTGACACCGACTCTCACCTACGCACACAATTTCTGGATTTTCTGGTACACACGAAATGGACATGCATCGCTGGATGCTGTTAAGCATATAAGATTTAGATTTGTGCATTCAACTTACATTTCATTTGTTCTAACACTCTTCGTCTGCTTCATTTTTGTTAAAGAACTCAGGACAGTATATTTTTTGTACATTTTGTTGTTTTATTATTTTTTCTCTTCAAATACAACATTTCTTAAACGATATTCCGTGTTCTTTTTTATTTTCTTTATTTTTATTAATGCAATTATAATTTCATATATTTATATATGTATATAATTTATTAATACAATATTTATATGCTAAAAGTACTCCATATTTAGCGCCTTTATATATATTTTGTGTTTTAATATTTTTATTTTTGTTTGTTTATTTTGCTTTTTAGACTATTCCATGTTAGGATTAGAGATTTTGCTTGCTTTGCGCTTATAAATTTTCGTAACATTGCGAATTTTTGCATTATTTTAATATAAATTACAATTTTAAATTTAAACATATGTAGCATATATGTATGTGTGTATATTTAGATAATCGAATTGTTTACCTATTATAAGAAATGTAATAAATATATTTTATGAAATTAAATTAGGCTTCACTGCATTATTACAAGTATAACTTATTTAGTAGGTACATTGAAAAGAAGGTTGTGCCTAACACAAAGAAATGGAAATCTCCTAACCTTCAAAAATAATGAAATAGTCAAAACTGAATTAGCTATTACATACACATGCATACATATGCATGTGTGTAGATGAAATGAGAATATTCTTCCATAGGTACGTGTGCATATACATACATATGTATATAAATAGGTAGATGCCTTAATAATTAATAATAAGACAAGTTCCTATAGGACGCAGTAAACATAACCATATAAAAAGTATCCAACAGGACAGTAAATCTTTATGAAAGAACTGCAGTCAGTTTGGCGATAATAATTTTTATTATTCGAAATTATTCTAATCGAGGACTTACAGCAATATATAAAATCAGTTGGTTTGCTTAAATATATTAGCACAAAAATTATATTGTACCTTCAAGGAAACATTTGATCAAATATTCGAATGTATTCTTAGATTTATATTTATAAATAATAGGTAGATTCAGAGGGAAATCGCAAAAAAATGCAATGAAAAATTCTAAATAAATTTAGTGTGAGTTTGACTCCACATATTTAAATATTAATTTTAGTTTTCTTATCTGGCTCACAAAGAGTGTGTGTTATTAACGCTTAAGCTAAAATAAACCATTCGAAATTGTCACATTTTTAAGATAAATTTGTAATAATTCTTTATCGAAACTTTTTAGAATGTTTTTTGTGTATTTTTTCTAATCTATATGCAGATCACTGCTAAATTTTCAGCAGGATCCAAAGTTATATAACTCACACGCACCTCTCGAAACAAATTGTGTATTATTTGCTTAAAATTAACATATTTATCTAGTTCATCATATATATATATATATATAATTTAATGTAATTTATACAATTATACGTATAATAATAATTGTAAGTAAATAATTTTCGTGAGTGTATACGCCAGCTCAGATATTTTATATGTATCTATTATGTACATATATCCACAAGTCACTTTTAACCCCTACACTATTTTCTTTTTTTTTTAATATTTAATTTTTAATTCTCATTAATTACTCATTAATTATTTTAAATATTGGTTTGATCGCTACTTTAGACGAACTCTTTCTTTCACATTTGCGCATTTTACAGTACTTTACAATATAAAAAGGTGCAGTAAGCACCTTTTCGCTGCTTACTACGTTCGCCGTTTGAAGTCGACTAAACTTAGATTAATTTTTTAATGTGCGAGTGTGTTGTGTTGTTTTTAATCGTCACTCCATTTTATGTGCGTCCCTTATTTTAGCGTTTTTGTTTTTGAATTTCGAGTGCTGTAACCTATACAGCCATGGGCAAAGATATAGTGCACTTTTCAAGAATGAAATACAAATCGAACATTTGTACAGGCTAATATAAAGCAAAGGCGAAAATAAAGCATAGTTCAGCATAAGTAAAGGAACTCGGTTCATAAAGTATAGAGGTGTAACATTTTGATTTGGACACCCCAATAGCGCACTTAGTATGAGATTTCATGAAGAATTTATTTCTGTGAAATATGAGATAACTGAGACCGTGAAATTATTTATTTGGCTAGCACTTTTAAGAAGTCTTTATATTTTTAAACTGTTTCCCACATACGAAGCAAACTTTCTAGTAACTTTTGATATTTTTCAAACTTATTGGATTGTATGATTGGTCTTTTCTTGGAGTACTCAAGTCTGCCTAACTGGACCGAAACCGAAAACCATCTTCTCTCAGAAAAAAAATATGATTTTCTAGAAATGCACGATTTTACCTATTGGAGCGTGTAATTGAGAATCGAGCTGTTTTGTTTTTTGCGATAGTTACAATATATTTTTTCAGCTAACAATAAACTATCCTTTAATATTTCAAAATTTTTGGCAAAGGTCTTAGCTCAAGTGAGTGCAAATATAAACAAAATTATATAATATTTGGAAATGCAAAAATTTGTTGTACGCTACTTTGTTGTCCAACGAGATAGTATCTAGTTGTACTAAAAATAAACAAACACGAAGAAGCAGAAGGGATAACAAAATTTTTAGTGAAATTGTGAAAAACAAAAATCGCAGATAAAGTATGACAGACTCATAGGTATACAGTTAAAGAAGTGAACACTAGAGGAGCGCTATATCTTTCCACATCGCGATAAGTACATATGTATGTTGGGGTTTGGTCCGGTCATTTTCGCAGCTTTTTCTCTAAAAAAAATAAAAATAAAAAAAACAAACAACCAAGCACACCGAAACTGAGCATAAGGAAACTTTTCCACTTATCATAACGTTTTACATAGCAGGTGAACACACGCTTATCTTCAATAGCACCCCACATAATTTCGTGTTGAAACGGAAAATGCGTAAACGTTCCTTATTTCGGATGCAAGCCTCAATATGCACAGTTTTGACGTGACATAAAATAATGCCCGCTACGTAATTTTGGATTCAATTTCTTGTGTTCCTCAAAAAGGCATGCTAAAATAAAGGCCCTGATCGGGGGCCACTCGCAAACTCTATAAGAATCTGGGCGGCCCTGAATTGTATGTCCCAGGTGGTGGATGTGGTGCTGGTGAATGTTGACCTTGTCTTAGCATGTCGAATGGTGAATTTGAGCGTTGCATGAAGTGGTGATAATTGCTGGGTGGCAGTTGGTGCTAAAAAAAAGATATAAAAAAAAGGTGTAATTCATTTAGTATAATTAAAATATGTAAACTATTCATTAATATTACTTGCATGCCCCGCAATCCCATCGGTACAACAGCACCAGGTGCCCCACCTCCCATTATGTGACTCGATCCGTCTCCCAAGTCGAGTTGTAGACTTTCATGCATATCTCCACTATTGCTGTTATTGGAGTTATTCGCCAAATGCAGTTGACCCAATGACGCTGTTGCCATTGCTACATCCGGCATCATGTCCGACAAATGACCACCGTTGCCACCATCCCCACATCCTACCGCACCACCACCGCCCTCAGCTCCAATGTTAATGCCCAACGCACTACCGTGGGGAAAACGATAATCTCCTTCCGTTATTAACGCCGGCAAATCGTTTCGATGATGTACCGAGGCTGAGAGTCGTGCATAATTCGCTTGAAGAGCTCCGCTACCACCAACACCGACATTTGTTAGCATACCCATACCAACGCTACTTCCCAGACCCAGCAAGCCGCCCGGGTGCTGTCTTGGAAATGTTAAATTACGACTGTAACATGGTTGTATACCATCACCACCACAAGTGGAAGAAGCAGCCGATGAGCCCACTGACGTCGAAAGATATCCACCGGCTACGGTAAGTCGAGGCACGGATCCTGCAGCCGCCGGAGAAGGTGGCGGCGTTTGATCATCATCTTCGATAAGTGCCGGATCAGTTTGAGTGGTTGATGTTATGCCGGTGTCTTCAGAAACAGTTGTTCCTGCAGCTGACGCAGCTGCTGCATTTGCAGCATTCTGTTTGCTAAGCAATGACGTTTCAAGCAAATCTGAGACTGCATCGGGCAGATTAAACTCACGGACTACTCGCAAGCGAATCTGTCGGTCGATTTCATGTTTCGATGAAAGCGGCAAAAGCAGTGCACGTTGACACATCGGTGATTGATGTAACTTATGTTCGCGTTTGAGCAACGCTGCCAAAGTTTGTGTGTCGGGGGGCGGTATGGCGGCTGCTGCAGCTAATATGTTAACACTCTCTTTGCCTGTCACCGCAGCCGCTGTAGGTACGTTGGGTTTTTTAGCTGCACTTATACGAGACACCATGTATAATGTGTCGGGAATGTCGGGCAGATGTCGAGATCGCCGCATTCGCATCAACTCTGCCTGATGATGAGATGATGCCATTCGATCTTCAAGCAATACTTTCACTTCTTCAAAATACGGCATGAAAAGACGCGGCCGCACGAAGAGACCCTGGTTTTTTCCTCCCCGAATCCAGGCGTTAACACGCAAATTTTCCCGATCGTCACTAATCATGTGCGAAGGTGGCGTACTCACAAGACCTCGACGAATAGCTTGCGCAAGTACTTCACTATTGGGTGGCAAAACGTGATCCATACGAACTAATGGCAGCAGTTCTGAAAGAATTTCTCGCAATTCGACATCACTAAGGTCTCGTTTTTTCACACCTTTTCTTGTCACAGAATGTGCCGTATGTGACACGATATTTGGTTCACGATCCTCCATGCGTCTTATCAGTTCTTGCTCTCCCCATTTAAGAACAGCCTGCAGAACCTCTAATTCTGACGCCTGCAAAAAATTGCTCTGCAACACATGTATTAACTGCGACTTATCGAGCTGATGCAGCACCGGTGACGCAATAACGGCTGAAAATTCTTCTCGCAGATATTGGCATGCTTGCCGATAAACCCAAGCCGAACCATGAGGCTGTATAAAGTAATGAAAAATTAATTATTTCAACTTAAATGTTTATTTATTATTATATCGATTTACTATTTACTGACCTGTGAGCCCCACCTAAGCACTGTGGGCAGCGTGTCTAATGTTAGCCATTCAAGTATCAAGTCTTCGCAACCTTGTGCTAAAATATCCAATTCGAGAAACCTTCCAATTTGGTACAGCTCCATAGCCTCCTCCAGTGGCGTAGGTCGCGCACGTCCCGTATTCGTCAACGCATGTACTTCACCCAGCGATCCCGCCGAATTACCAGAACCAGCACCACGTAAGATTAGCGTCAAATCGACTGTGTCCAGGTAGATAGCATGTAACAACACTCGCGCGTATCGCTTCGGTATCACCGTCTCATCAAGCACAATCCTCGTTGGAACGTGCAATGCACGTTCGGTGTACTCATCAATATTTCGCGTCCGACGTGCGATTAGATTCCGAAAGAACGGTGAACGAGCACTAAGGATCGCCTTATGGCAGGGCAGTTCCAGTTTAGGTCTAAAGCCATACTCAGAGCTACCAGAATCGGGTCGATGATAATCGTTGCCCTCCACTGTGAACACTAAAGCCGCATCGGCATAATCGCCTGTCTCGAGCAAATACCGAAGATCATGTTCCAGAGGATTCGGTGTACCGAAGTCATCACTCAACTGTCGCAACAGATTTATGTCAATGGTTGGATCATGTGGACAAAGATCACCCGTATACAGGAAACGTAATAGCGATGAGAACATCTGAACATCGATGGGCGAAGTTGGCAATTCAAGACAAATGCGTGCACCAAAGCCTGGACATCCCGCTAGTAAATCCCTGAAATACGAGCATCGTGATGAGAGTATGGATCGATGCACTGGAAAAATAGATCCACGAAAGACCAAATCACAGTCTGTACAAGTTTTCATTTCATAAATTGCCGCCAAATCTTGTTTAAATGTTGTCGCAGGTGGACGCGCCAGTTCCGCTTGTACCTAAAATTAAGGACAAATAATTAATACCATAAAAGGTGGCATTGTAATGCTATTTTGTACTACCGATAGATCTCTTAGTGCAGCCAATGCCTCATACTCTTCACATAACGCTGCAAGTTCCAACGGGGTCCAGTCGGATACGAAATCGCGCAAAACACGCGCATGATCACAGGCTTTTGAAGAACGTCGCCGACGTATGAATTTCCGTTTTAACGTTGCGAAACCCGTCACTCGCTTACGACGCTGCTCCCGAAAGTGGGGAACACCAACGCCTGCTGCGCCCATAAGCGAGGAATTGCCACCGGGACCACCACCACTGCCAGAAGCACCGGCTGTCAATGCGGCTGAAGAAGGCAGCAACAAGCCAGAACTACCTCCACCATTGCTGCTTGTGGCTGGCATTTGGTAACCGCTGGTCGAAGCGGTTGCGCCCATTTTTATCAGCAATCAAGCGGAGTGGAAAACAATTTGCGATAAATAGTTTTTCATGAACCACGTCCTAGAGGTGACGTAAAATGCACCAAACAACAAATACTTCACAAATATCCACTACCTTATGCACATGCAAATAAAAAGTTGTGAATGGTATCTGCTGAATATTTACACAAGAAGACGTCTTTCTTTTAAATTAACATAATGATAAAAACCTAAAATCAAGTTGTTGTCTGAAACGAAAAAAAAGAATATGTAATAGTAATATTAAATCTAGCGTATATATTGTTTTGAGAGTTGCTGCCTCCATGGTATGATTGGCCAGAAGAATTATCTTATGTAATTATGATTACAGGAAATATAACAAAAGCGTAAGCGTTAAGCGACTACTGATCATCGCACATACATAAATACAAGTATGTAGTGCATATGTATGTGTATCTATCTAAGCAATTAGGAATTAGTGCTTCATAGTTTTTGGTCAGCAAAAACTAAACAACGTATGTAAGATTAAGATATCCCAAAATACTTAACCAATTGGCAGCATTACAAGTATACTTGGGGTAATCACAATTAGTTACTTATTACTTAATTTATATGATCCATTCGTACGTTTTATATCTGAACTATTTTATTTATATAAATATGTATATTATATATATATATACATGTACTCACAATATAGATATTATAATTTACAAAAAACTAAAATTACATAAGTAGTAAGCCAATTAAAAGATAGTATTTTAAAACTATTCGTGGATTTAAAGGTATGCCATATACATAAGGTCAAATGTAGTTCGCCCATATACGCACTCATACCCAAAATGTTGTTGAGTGCTTACTAATATGTATATACTAAGCTATTTTGAAGTTTTGTTAGACAGCTATCTTACTATCTGTAGTATCAACATTTCATAAATAATCTCAAATATAACTATTGTGAAGATAAGATGGCACTCTAGTATTATAGGATAGCTCAAACTTTAGCTTTCACTTATTTACAAGCCAGTACTTGTAACTTTGCTTTTGCCTCTTCTTGAACACATTCTTTTTAATCTTTTTTGTATAACTGTGTAATTTATGTAGTAAGAAAATGCAGTTTTAGACGTTCCGTTTGTGTATTTTGTGATGATTTTTAAATCGAAACATATGCAGCAAACTTACCAAACAATCCCAAACACACACACACATAGTATATTTCAAAAGTCTACATATGAACAACACTTGTGCTCTCTTCCAATTTACCTGTAATCCCGTTGCTTCTTTTAATGCTGTTGAAATGCCTTCGCACTCTGCTATTGCTGCTTTACTCGCTGTCTGCGAATGCAGCTGTTGGCTCTACATTTAATACAAATGTATATTCGTCTTTACTCCGATATGTTAATGAAATGGAAATTAACAATCTGTTCCACCCAACACAGCGAAAACTGTTTAGCTTCCTTCATAGCGCGACAACAAAAACACACAATCTCAAGTTCTTTTCATTTGTATAACATTCCCATTTAAGAAATCTATTTCACTCGTAACTTTTTTAATGTTTATAAAATATGACTTTTCCTCTGTTTTTTGCTTGAAGTATTGAAGGAAAATTGGTGGAAATTTAGCTAGTGATAGAAATAAAAATATCTAGCACAAAGCAGACGTAGACAACGAAGAAGAAGCGAACGAAGCTCAAACCACGACGGCAATTGGTAATAATTTTCTCATTACGTATTTTTCACATTATAACAAAAAATATTTAAAATGTACACTAAATAATTTCTATTAGACAAAACATTTTCACTCATATTATACGTGCATTTTTATAATTTTTCAATCGAATTTCATTTTTTCCTTTCTACAATTTTCGTTCTCTGCGTTGAAAAATCTCTCTGATTGTATGAAGAAGAATACGCGTAAACACCCTCAAAAAATTATGACAGAACAGGTGTACACACAACTCTATTACAATTTTTATACAGTAAGGCGGTACACAGACGCTTCATGAATTTATATATTTAGTTTTTATATATTTTCCTACAATGGTTAACCTTGCAAATCTAAAATAGTAGTCAAAAGAATAAAATAATTAAAGACTTAATAATCATTCTTTACCGTAATGGCTTATTACAACTTTGGTATCTCAGATTTCGATTTGTCCTGGAAAATTTAAAATATTATTCAAATTAGATAGACGTACATTAAATTGTAGATATACGATCGCCATATACCAGAATTCTTTATTGATTAACGCTGCAGTTACACAATCAAGAATTTGCTTTCAAGTTGATCACACAAACTACTTGTCAACATTTATTTAAATTGACAGCAGTGACGTATGCTGCAAGCAACTTTATAGTCAATAATAGTTCCAAAATGCCGTTGTCATGGAAACCGCTTAAAAGTCTTGAAAATGGATTTATGTATTTCTATTTTGACATCAGACTGTGAATATAACGACATATTCATATTCCCAACAATTACTGCGATATGTTTGCAAAACTATGTGATCAGCTGTTCAAACTTGATCGTTCACTTGCCACTCGACTTGAATGAGAAAATTGATATCAAGATGGATTTCAAGTTCGAAAAGTGAGAGTACGGTTGTAGAAAAGTGTGGAAGTGATTAGGATGGCAACAATAAAAATATTCTCCAAAAAATTTAATGTGGCAACTAGATTTTTCATATGGTAATGTCGAAATTATGAAAGAAACAAATTCCTTTTAGGGGCATTTTGTTTTTTATATAGAAATTCAATAAATATACAAAGTTTCAATTTAAAGACTATGTACTTATTAACAATATCATTGGTTTAATATTGTGTTAAGTGTATAATAATTATAATATTTAAATTCACCAAGCTAATGGTGAAACCGTTCTGCCAACTTCATCAACAAGAGAAACAATTTTCTAATTTATTATTATTTTGTTTTGTTTGTTTATTCTGAACATAGGCTATTATTGGCGAAAAAAAGAAGGTTCCATACATTTAGGCTAAACAATTGTTTGTACTTGGTAGTTGCACTCATCCAGCGTTATACAGTAAATTTTCGATGCTAACACTCCTTCTTCGTAACAGTGTCGTCTGTATACGACAAGGCAACTGTTCCAATGTTGGAGGTGCGATACGTCATTTTCGAATTACAATCCGCCAAGAAGCCCAGCTGCCAAACCTTTCGCCGTACGATGTAATTTAGCTTACGACATACAAATAATGTATGCAGATATATAATAATATGTTATATCCATTTAGATCAACTTAATTTTGAGAGAAAACGAATACATTCAAACATTTGCTGAAGATGACAGCATAGTACGTAGCTATGAATCCAATCAATTAAGTTCGAATAGACCTTGTGAAGATTCCCGTACCGAAGCCACATTTTTACACAAAAATGGTCAGTCTTTTGCATAATATTATTGTTATCAATTAAAAATTATTATTAAAGGTTTCATATGTGGAGTATTTGACGGCCATGGTGGACCCGCCTGCTCTCAAGTTATTTCCAAACGCTTGCTGCGATATGTGGCGGCAGGGACCATCGACAGAGGAACACTAAATGAAGTTATAACCAAAGATTACAACAGTCAATCTTTTTTAAGATGCCATAATGATAAGGTAAATTTCGTTCAAATTTTACGAAATTATTAATTATAATATTTTTTGGTGAACAGGCGGATTTCGTCTCCGAAATAAAAAATATTTACGAAAATAGCTTTAGGGAATATGTACAAACTATTTCTGGACAGGCAGCACAAAATGTCGCATTTGAAATAAGTAACGCCTTTATGCGGTTAGATGATGACTTATCAAGAGAAGCTTTAAAATACACAAATATGCGCACAATGTCGGTAGCAATGTCAGGTAAATATATATAATATTTTGAATTGAAATTGGTAATACATTTTTACTTTTAGGAGCTGTGGCTTGTGTAGCTCATATTGATCATCTAAATTTGCATGTAGCCAGCACTGGTGATTGCGGCGCAGTCTTAGGTATACAATGTCCTGAAACTGGGCAATGGCAATCTAAAAAATTAAACAACGAACACAACGCCGACAATCTCAAGGAAGTACAACGCATTTTAGAAGAACATCCCAAAGGGGAGCATGACACCGCTATACGTAATGAGCGTTTATTGGGTCAATTAGCACCTTTACGAGCCCTTGGAGACTTCCGTTACAAATGGAGTAACGAAATAATGAATAAATATGTTTTACCTACTTTTGGGGAGCACGCAGTGCCGGAGCATTATTACACACCACCTTATCTTACGGCGCTACCAGAAGTACAGCAGCATGTACTAGGACCCAGCGATAAATTTTTGGTTATAGCTAGCGATGGTTTGTGGGATTTTTTAACACCATCCCAAGTTGTAGGTCTAGTTGGCGAACATTTAAATTCCAAAAAGGTACTGGAACCAATGAGGTTACCACCTGGCGAAGTCACATTGCTGGACGTATCCAAATTGTTGGCAGAACGAAAGTATGTGCTAAATTTAAGAAATATTTGATTTAATTTAATGAATTTTATTAATATTTTATCAGAGCTGGACGTGCAAGGAAACCACTGGATCAGAATTCCGCAACACATTTAATACGTAATGCTTTGGGGGGCACCGATTACGGCATTGAACATTCAAAAATTGCTTACTATCTTTCGTTGCCGCAAGATGTGGTGCGTTTGTATCGAGATGACATTACGATTACAGTAGTATATTTTAATACGGAATACATAACAAAACTCAATGAAAATACATAGAGTATACTATGTAGAAAGTCTGCAAACTAAACTTTACCTCAATGCAGTCAAATTACGCGAAAATGTCGCCATTATTATTCCGCCTTCATACCACTATATAAGTATATTAATATATACTATATTTTGGTTGAGTGTAAATAGATAATCATAATTATTTATTTACGTGTTAGAATCATTTGTTAAAGGTTGAATATAAGAAATTCATGTTCCTTGTACATTTCTTTATAATAGCGTAGTTTTTAGTCATAGTCGTTGAATATCACTACTAATTTGCTCGCTTTTCGTTGACGAAAACTGACTTTTTTTAACATAAATTGTAATATGTCTTGCAATTTTTAAATTCATTGTTTTAGTTTTTAAGTTCAATTGTGAATGCGGAGCGGTCCAGTTTTGGTTATTGTTAATCGAAAATGGATATTCAAATTTGAAACTATAAATAAATGGAGATCTATTTAAATTCACACATAGATTTGATTTCGATCCTGCATTATTTTCAAATCCCGACAGTTGTTACACTAACTTATTTCCAAACGAAGCCGTATACGTAATATGGATTTATTATACTTTTCTGGTAACAACAGACAGCTTTAACAATATACGAGTATATCAACAAGAAAAGTTGCTCTTTTACCTCACGATGTTTGCATTATAGTTGAGTTACTACACATGTGTAGTACACTTTTTCATTTATAATTGTACTTAAATGATATATTATATTATATGTGTTGTTAAATACATTTATTCATTAGGTTTTCATATTATTCAGAAGCATTATGATGCGCATTAAATACACAAAACATTTACAATTCTTAATTACAAACAATGTTGGATATACCATATAAATTTTAAATTTATAATAAATTCAATTTCAGCTTATTGATGTAATATTGTTGCATCTCCGCTACCACCTCCGTTATATTTGCGTTCAGCTTCATGTTTCTGAACACAATTCAGAAATTCGACTTGCATCAAAGTTATTTCCTCCTTTGAGAAACGTTGCATCTTTTGTTTGAGAAAAGCAAAAAACAAATCCAATTCCTCGCGCGATTGTCCATTATACATCATAGATGTGGGAGACTGTAACTGTAAAATGGATGAATTTGCCGTTTGTTGTTGGACCACATTTGGGTTGTTAGAGCTACTGCTCACTACAACGGGAGTTGTGACAATTGTTGAAGTAGTCAAATTCTTTAATTTCGCGCCACCAATTACACTACTACTACTGCTGCCGCTACCACTTTCACCTCCACCACCACTTGTACTGGGTAAATGGGGTATAGACTCTATGCAAAAATCATTCATAGAATAGGTGAATGAATCAGCAGTAGAGTGCGTGTGATGGTGATGGTGTGTACTTCTAAAAAGAAATCTTTTTTACAAAAATATTTATGCAAAAGGTATATTTCTCATACGCAAAATTTTTTGAATCCGTTGACGAGCTGCGCACTACGCCCCCTGAGCCAATAATGGTTTCGCAATCGACACTAGGCCCATTCCCTGCCTCTTCATACATGCAAACTTCCTCGTAATGTACTTCGGTCCCAGTTGCATCGTCTAATGACGAACCGTGTTCGTTTTTAACTATTTCTTGTACATCTTCAACATCGTCATCGTCGTGAGTCAACTCCATATGAGAAGATATACTTGGGTCATCATGGCCACCATGATCAATAGTTGTAACGTCATCTGTGACACTCTCTTCATAAGTGGTAAGTATGAATGCCTCATCGTCATTCACTAAGGTTATGGCCGGATTCGAATGGTGCACAATTCCGCCGTCGTTATGGTCTTCTTTTAATCGTGTTGCTACGGTGGGTCCACCAAGGTCATGCAAATCCGAACGTTGTGTGTCCATCATGTAATTTTGATGGCGTTGTGATTTCAATTTTGGCTGATATATACTCGACAAGAATTCTAATTCTTTGGCGTAACGCCATTTTGATAAACCATCGCCAGGTTTTGGTTTACGAAGTCGGTATTGGTGGTAAGTATCCCTTAAATTTTTCCACTTACGCCGACACTCTTCTACAGTGTATCTGTCTAAAATGAAAAGAATATATCTTATTTAGAAAAAAAGATTGTTATCACCATCTCAACATCACAACGAATAAAGTTTCGCTTGCAAAGTCTAGCATACGATGGTAATTTGATTATACTACTTACTACCAATTTTCGCCGCTATTTCAGCCCAACCATTTAATACATCAATACGCCGTCTTTGATTAGGCTCTAATTTATAATTATATAGCGCAGGATTCTGACGTACCAAATGTATTAATGTTATTATATCATCTGCGGGTGCCGTATCCTTTTGATAGCGTTTACGCTCACGTTCTAAAATTGACAATAACAGATAACATAGATTTATTCTTGTGGGAAATCTTTTCAAAGGCTTGGATTATATTTCTCACTAATAGTTTGCATTTTGCAAGTCGGGATCCGGTTTTTATTTAAATAGCTTCTTTGTTTATCGGTTTTAAATTTTCCTCGCCAATGCAATGTAGCCACTCGGTACTCGCTGACTTTGTTGCGAGTTGGTCACCACACAACTTCCGTCCGTTTTCATTCAAATTGCACCAAAGTCTCTCAGTTATAAGTAACACTTTTGTTTATCCTTTATGTATGAAACTTCAACACAATAGTTTTAATCATAAATTACAATATTCAACCGTAGCCACAAAACTTGGAGTGAATCTCTCTTATTTGTCAAATGTGCATATGTCCGATGGTGACGTGAATAAAGCAGTGCTTGTAGCTAATGCAGTAGTTTTGACAGTTCATTTAGAAGAAGATGTCAAAATAGTATGTGAAAAGGTTCGAAGGGTGCGTAGAAAAAAGGTTCGGGTACAAATAAACCTGCACTGATGAAAACAAAAACATCCACGAATTTTTTATTATGAATATGTGTTTCATGTTCTTAAATATAAAACTGACCTATACTTATAAGGTATTTTAAAAACCCTTACATACATACCAAAGATCATATATCAGCCACTTATTACGGAATCTTTAGACATTTTGTTTTTACCGCCACTTATTCTTGCAAAACTGTTTTTTGTTAGAAAACTTATATTCAAAATTATAAAATAACAATAATTATGACGGTATCTGAAGTAATTAATCTGAAAATACAGTCTGGAGTAAACATTCATAATATTTCATTGTATTTTTCATTATTATGGTCGAGTTTCTACGTAATAAAAATTTTCCTGCTGGGTTGATTGATGTGAAAACCTATTAGGGTTTCGCTTATATTTGACAACTTATAAATTCACTCGAGTTTATGAGTTCTCTGCCGGCAACAATCAAAAAAGCGCAAAAATACAAACAAATGTGTGGAACAAATAACACACGATAAGAAGTTAAAAATAAAAAGTTAGTATCAGTAAAATTGTTTAAATTTTGAGAAGTTCATTGGAATTGAATAGATTTTGCCAAAAGCTTATATCTAAAATATATAATTATATTTATTTGGTTTAATGAAACTACTGAAACCAAGCTGGGTACATCATGACGGTAAGTCCTTTTTTACCGCTGTCACATGGCTTTTAGTTCAATATCAATTCTCTTTCTGTGTGAAATATCCCTCAAAGATAAGCCAATATTCTCCGTCGATGTACACCAGGAATGCCTCAAATTTGCTACTGGTGGTCAAGGGCTGGATTCAGGACGTGTTGTGATATGGAATTTACTGCCAGTATTATCAGAAAAGATTGAGCAGGATGAAAGCGTACCAAAGATGCTTTGCCAATTGGACAATCATTTGGCTTGCGTAAATTGCGTACGTTGGTCACCAAATGGGCAAATGCTAGCGTCTGGTTCGGATGACAAATTAGTTATGATTTGGAAAATGTCCAAGGTATTGTCAAATAAAATAGCTGCCATAATATATTTTATAAGCACTCAGAATACCTAAATAGGGACCCAGCGGAGTTTTTGGTAGTGGCGGTCTTCAAAAAAATGCAGAGTCATGGAAATGTGCAGCAACTCTACGCGCACATTCTGGCGATGTTCTAGACTTGGCGTGGTCACCTAATGAACGATGGTTAGCCAGCTGCAGTATTGACAACACCATTATAATCTGGGATGTACAGTCATTTCCCAATATGGTTACTACGTTACGTGGACACTCTGGATTGGTAAAGGGGGTTGCTTGGGATCCTCTGGGCAAATTTTTGGCATCACAAAGTGATGATCGCAGTGTTAAAATGTGGAAGACAAGTGATTGGAGCTGCAGTAGCACCATCACGGAACCATTTAAAGGTTGCGGTGGAACGACTCACATACTACGACTGTCTTGGTCCCCAGACGGTTTATATTTGGTGTCGGCACATGCTATGAACGGAGGGGGTCCTACAGCACGTATTATAGAACGCGAAGGATGGAAATGTGACAAGGATTTTGTAGGGCATAGAAAAGCCGTAACATGTGTTCGGTTTCATGATACGGTTTTAACACGACAGGCATCCAACGCAGACCGAAAACTGCAGTACTGTTGCATGGCGATGGGATCAAGAGATCGTTCGCTGTCAGTATGGATGACAGCTCTAAATCGCCCTTTAGTAGTTATACACGATTTATTTAGCGACAGTATTTTAGATCTTTCTTGGGGCCCAGCCAAATGCATTCTCATGGCATGTAGCGGTGATGGAACAGTTGCTTGTTTACAATTTTCTGAAAGTGAATTGGGCACACCAGTTTCAGACGAAGAGAAGGTTAGTATAGTTAAAGGTGTTTAGTAAATCGTATACATATATACAATGTATTTCCAGAATTCATTGTTCCAAAAAACATACGGCAAAAGTGTAACTATTGAGAATGGATCCACAAGTACAGCAGACATACTCATTGAAAATCCAGAACTTCTCAAAGATGCGCACGAAAAGCCGAAAGCTCCTACACTGCCTACAGCAAACCCCACTAGCAATAATCCTATCATATCTCAACCAACAGTGCCAATCGGAACTTCGAACGGACTTAATGATGCATCTGCTTCTGCATTATATGTAAGCGGAAGCGAAGAAACAACGAGCAACTTTAACGCACTTAGAAAACAAACTGAAACACGAACTGCAGACGGCAAACGTCGAATTACCCCAGTCTTTGTAGCACTGAATCAAGATGTCTCGTAAGTAGAAACTAAACACACTTTGTATTCGTAACTTATTTGTCTGCATTAAATTGACAGTGAATCACAAAGCGAACACGACACCCCTTTGCAATCAGCAAAATCTTGGAATTCGAACAATTCATTAACAACACCAGCAGAGGTAGCATCAACCGAAATGAATCCATCACAAATGGGCGCGTTTGCAAAACCTATGATAACTGAAGCACAAGAAATGTATATTTCATGTTATGTATTGTATGATCAGAATTTGGCTATATAGAACACTTCATTCCAGATGCTTGGATGCGCGGCTTATTAAAACTACATTATCGGCTGCCAAATTGCAGCCACTGAAGGCCGAAAATAGTTCAGTGAAGACTTTTCCGCTCATTGTTACTACAAAACCATCTGCAAACTCGAATACTGGTACATCAGCTATATCAACTAATCCGTTACTTACAGGAGTTAAGCCATATCAAGCCTCCACAACTGGACCCAAATTAGTTATAAATCTAAACACAAAATGTGAATTTCAAAAAACTGCCTTAGACCACAGAGTTCATGTTCACAACGGGTACTTAAGTGCTGGCAGTGGTTTGCTAGCCAAAGTTACTGGTTACAATATAGTAAGACCAACACAAATAGAGAAGCTTTGGGAAATTTTAGTAGGTACGTATAATTATCACTCATAAAGATGTTAATAATTTTATAAATGTATTGTTTTTTCATCGGAACAGGCTCCCCAATTGTCAATTTGAATTTCTGCCATAAATACGCTATGTTATGCAGTTTGGATGGAACATTACGATTAGTTGATATGGACACGGGCAAAGCAAAGCTTCCGGTCATAAGTTTGAGCACAGCGGCAGTGCAGTGTGCCTTTGTAAGTATAATTTGTAGTAAATATTTTGTATAACGAATAAAGGAACTCTATTATTGAAGTGTCCCAGCGGTCGCTTAGTTGGTGTTGTGACGGATTGCGGCATTTTGCGAATTTGGCACATTGAGGAACGTCGAATTTTTTTAGCGGTAACCTGTCATGAGATCGGAGGAAAACTCGGTACTGTTGTACAGTTTGTAATTACGGAGGACGGGGTTCCGATGATTTTGTTTTCTAATGGCAATGCGTATTCTTATTCCGAGCAGTTGCAATCTTGGCTTGTACTCAGCACTAAAGATCCTATAATTCGACATGGACTACAAACAACAATCCCTAAGGATTTTCAGAAAAATTACTTTTCGTACCCACTCATCTCGACTCAAGCTGCAACCAACACATTTGCTGCCAAGAGCACATCTGTAGACATGTAAGATATCAAACAATATTAAATATTATATAATATAACGTTTTGCTGTTATTATTAATATTGATAACTCATCCTGTAGGAATATAAATGACTGGCAATCGAGTGCAAAAATAAGCTTCATAGAGAATCAGATTATGCTATCGGAAGCCATCAACTCCTCTCACGAGTTGATATTCTGGTACAATATGTACGCGTATCAACTGGCAATAAGTGGAACCGAACAACGTTTACGATTACTACTTGATGATTTGCTGGGCCCGTCGCCACTAAACATAACACAGGAACACAAAATACTGGTAATACTAAAATATTACAAATGTTGACAACTTATTATATTTTAATACATGTTTTATTATAAAAGTCTGTGCCAAAGCACCAACTGCTGGCAAATGTACTGGATGTACTTAAAACGCACATAAAATGGCAACGCTTATTCATGGAATACAATGAGCTGTTCCAATTTTGTTCCAAGGCGAGAACTGTTGACGCAAGTATGGATACAGACGCCGTTATGGCAATGCCGCAAATAAATGCAGAGATGGATTCATGTGCTTCGAAGCAAGAGGAGAATAGTGTTCCGATATAGGCTCTAAGATGCCAGTGTTATTAAAAGTTTAATACAAGAAAAAAACTAACGACTGCCCAAAAATTTAATAGTATTTTAATTGCTTTTTTCGACATGTGGCATGTGGACGTTTTTTATTGTATATAGAAATATAATTTAGAAAAATAGAAACAAACATTAAATCTGTCGTCTGGTTACTTTATTAAAAAAATGTATATAATAAAAATGTTCTAAAAGCTACTGCATATAAGCCGGCCCTGGAGTGGGTACACTTTTTAAGGGCGAGTCGAAATCCACTTCTTGCTGCTCCGGTATTGGGCCTTCATGAATGGTTGTACCTATTCGTTCCTGCAGTGTTTCATACAATTTGTGAACTGTCTCGTTATGGCCTGTTGTAGGCTGTATAGCTTTCATGAGTGTAGTCAATCTTCCTGGAGGCAATTTATTGTGCACATACCACAAAAGTTTTAACATATGTCGTGTAACATTATCACGAGTCAATCCAACGAAAAGAAACTCATCAAAAAGTGTTGTGCAGAAATCTTCAGCAGAAAATTCATCAGCCATTGGAATCAGTAAAGCGATCTAAAAACACAAGATTTTAACGCATAAATGCTTCGTGAAATGTATACATAGGGGCTTGTGCTTTGTAACAACTTACAAGTGAATGTAAAAAGGGATCTTCGTATGCTCGATCGTCCTTACATGCCGATAGTATAGCTAATGCTCGTAAAACACCAACTCGATCTTTTACTCGTGCCGTGTGCAAGGTATAATACATAGCCAATATACTGGCTACGGAGCTCTCCTGGATATAGGCCTCAACTGCATCTGGTGCTGGGCCTGAATGTTCAATTGTACAAAGCGCTGATTCACGCTCATCTGGAGGTAGTTTCGAATGCAAACTGCGGCATTGATCATCTACCATGAGAGACATTAGCGCCGGCAGAAACTTTGTTACAACCTGACAGTCAAGTTTTGGTTCCTTAAAATCTTGCGAATCGATCATTACCCATGCACTCAA